ACACACACACACACACACACACACACACACACACAACCTCACAAATTGTTAACCACAACACAAGCTATTTTTTGGATCACTCATCCGCTGACAAGTATAATTAGAAAGTGGTTAACTATGATGGGCAATCTAGTATGGGTCGTGCCACACCGTGTAGATTAAGGCGTGTTGAATCACAATCACCATCTGGACCAAGTCGTAGATGCATGCCTCCAACGTGTATCGCAGGGNCAGGGTCCCTTCAACCTTGGCCTAGGTACGGTCAAGCGCCAAGTGGGTTTAGTGCATACTCAACATCATCATCGTATAGCGAAATAAAGTGGTGAATTTCACTGATCGCTACCGGACTCTCAATGAATAACAATTTAGTTAAAATATGTAAGTTGGGCTTGGATTGAACCTATTTTCAGACAAGGAGAGAGGCAGAGAACTCCATGGTCATTCCACAGAGTACGTAATCTAACTGTGCATACACACCTTTTCAAGCATTTTGGCCAGATAAGAAATGCAAAGAACACCACCCCTTTCGATTCGTCTTCATATTCTTCAGTGTCTTCGATCGACGAGTTGCACAGCCCTTTGGACCCCAACTTGGAAGGGGAAGGACACCTGCGAATTAGAGTTTGATGGACAAGTACTACTAGAGTGTCCAGCTACTAAGCAGGAGAACGATTAAGGTTCTCACCCAATGCCTTTAGTCCCCACAAAAAATCTAACCACAAGGGAGCTGATACAGTGAATTGGAGACCCAGTTACTATAATCGTTTCCCTTCTACCAATTTTACCGACTGGGACAGCAGTTCGAGCCAAAATTCCAGCTTGGAGGACCATGAAACTGAAATTTGTCTGATATACACCCTTCGACATTCCAGGCATGGTTAAATCGTCGGTTTTAAAAGAGCGATCCTTCAGAGTTCGTTGGGTCAGAGAGGAGTATTGATGGACAGGTAACGGGTAGATTAACTGCCGTTTACGTGGTTCCGCAGTACACTCGCATGAGGTTTCAATTTCCAGTGTTCTATCTATTGCACCCCAGTCGTACACTCTCAAGGTCCTTCGTGCACTGGGTCCTCAGTCGAGAACACGGTCTCATCAATGAACTGTAATTCGCTTCCGGCCCACCAAACTCCAGCCGTGCGTGCAAACATGATCAGACTGTAAATCCAAACTTTCAAACGTTAAGCTACAGTATCAGACAGACAGAAACATTACCATTATCCTGGTCACAAAGTATGTATACACGTGATAACGTAGACAAATGTTTAAAATTGTCAGCCACACTTCTAACTTGATGTTGCTACCCTGTCCCTGTCGATTTGGGAGTCGGATAAAAAAGTGCACATGCGGATCTTTGTTTGTGTGTCTGCGTTTGTGTGGAACGACATGCTGAAGTGACATAAACCCAAGTGAGATGCGGATCCCTTTCATTCGGGAAAACAGACGTCATGACAGCCAATTTGTGCCAACGACGATGATCGTTATCATCAAAATCATCATCCTCGGTCGCCGATCCCAGCCCCTTCGGCTATCGTCATCCCCCTCCCCCACCCTAGCATCACACCGTATAAACGAGTGTGAAACAATTTTGGAACGATGACTGGGAGGGGGAGGAAAGTGTGTGTGTGTGTGTGGGTGGGTGGGTGTGTGTGAATACACACCAAACCTCGTAAAGCAGAGTCATAAATGTCCACGGAGCCAGCGTTAATGGAGTTACGTCTATGAGTGAGGTTTTGCCCCGCACATGTGAATATTTCATGCACCCCCGTGCAAGAACGGAGGAAAAAGATGAGCCTGTCGGTTTCGTCTATCTGCCGACCGGACAAACAGTCAGTGTGTCGGTTTGTGTGTGGAAATATGTACACATTGCCGCCTTTCAAAGGGACAAAACCTTTGAATAATTTCTGGTAAAAAAATCTCACTCAATTAGACAAACCATGGGCACTACCAGCACCACGTCCGCATCACTGTTCTCATCGCGACCACAAATTTGTTCCCACACTACAGCCTGGCAAGATGGGTAAACCGATATTTATTTGAGGGAACCTGTCGAACCCCAGTGGGGAATAGTTGATAGCCGGATTAGTCATGTTTGTTGATGTGGTTACCGGCTACCGACAAACACAACAAACAATGCCTGAATATTTTCGAATACACGACCAATATGCGCCAATTAATGGACTAAAACGAAAGGGGAAATGTATTTGAGATTTATCCTGCCACATTCCCAAGAACAAAAAGGGAGATAAACCAAATGGACGCCAAATACACTGCGCAGATTCCGCTGCGAATTCCCCACGAATGTGCTCAAAAGTCATTAGAAGAGAAACCAATACCTCCATTCGTTCTTCCCCTAATCAATAAAATGCTGGTTAAAGGTATATGGAAATCAAACGGAACTTCAGATGATAGATGGCTTTCGAGTTCGCGGTGAATTTTCGATCCGTTGAAATAATAGAAATTAGGATTTATGGTTATTGATGAATGGGAAACAATTTAACCGCGAGGGACAATGCTCTCAAGTAATTTTGTATTTATGCACCTCATCCAACATGTGGTCATTTACCACATGTAGATGAAAATCCATGCTGATAAGCTGGATGTACTTCGATTGAACAAAATGTATCACCAGAATCGATTTTCAAACAAGGTTGGGTTGCGACAAACCTGTGCACATACAATGGCCTTTGCGGTGTACTTTAGGTTTTAAAAAGATGAATTCCGTTACTTGATTGTACTTGTTTGAAGGTGATAAATGTTGATGAATAAAGCATTCAGTCTATTATCAGATGTTGTGAAAAACCTGATGGTTTTTGTGCTATGTTGTGTTCCACTGTATAGCAATGGCTCTCCTAGCCACTGCAGCATTTCAGATGATTGAAAACTGTGAATAAAGTACCAAATCAAATATGAAAATTTGACAATGGTATCACATGATTGCATAGCACAGTCACAACTCAACGAAGTCAGATTTATCTAAAGTGGACATCGAGAACAGATGATAAAACAAACAAAATTTTGCAGTAAGAGAGCGAGAGCGCATCTTAACTGACAAATCACTACTACCCGATTTAAAATGTTATCTTTTGAGTGCGCCTGTACGATGTTTACGAGCTCCATGCACTGTTTTATGCGTGCGGGTTAAACTACTTTGAAGTTGATGAATTTCTGATATGGTAATTGCAATCTATTTATGATAGAATTCTTTGGTTGTAACCTACCAGGAGTGCAGTAGATAACTGTTTTGCTCCTGTTAGTACTCGTCAGGTTTTTGGTCAGACAAGGAGTCGAACCGTAGAAGTTTAATTTTCTTTGGTAGATCTCGAACATGTAACCGTGGAGTCTAACTGAGAGAGTGCAATCTGAGCTCAGTATTGGTTGCCCTGTGACATAATCATGACGATTTGAATATATGTACTAGGATGATTTCCAAGTCTTTCACTTCTTCTTGTTCTTCTCTTTTGAGTTCTACTTTAAAATGATTTCCAAACGCCTTAATTGAATCCTTAGTTTCACACACGTTCGTCTTCGTAGCAAGTGAAAATCTAACAACGTTATTGATAGCAATAATCTTTTCCTACTTTTCATTGAACAGCTGTCTGTCCTCATAGTTGGTCTTTTTTGAGTATACGAAGCGCGCAATTTGAGAAGAGACAGTGGCTGTGGGACTGAAGCGCACAACGGACGAGCCATAGTATTTGACCTGCGGAATAACTAGCGATAACAATCAACACCGGTCTACCAGCGTTTAACCCTGGCTTAACAGACGGTGCGAAGGCAGATACATTTTTTGCTCTAGTAATCCCTGAATCGGAAAATGCATAATGGTAAACAAGCTCGTTTCCAGTGCATCACAAACATGCGCAACAAATCATATGTACGTCACTAATTAAAAGAGGAAACATATCTTGGTGGGGAAGAGGCTATTCTCAGGTTGAGTGAATTAACTGGGAGTTGTGCGAGAAGATCAAATTTTAAATATGATCTTTCAAGATCAAGTATCTATCACACACACACACAGCTACTCATCATTAACTATAAGTTAAAATGGAGGCATTACAGTTGTATAGAAACTCTTATGTTGTATACCAAAAAGTGACTAGTTTAGGTGCTCCAAGAACCAGTGAGTAAATTAACCCGAATCGGATTTGTCACCTAACTACATTAGCGAAAGATCACTTCCGTCAAATGAAAGTTATTCATCCACATCCACACACTCACACGCAAGGTAATCATCTGTATCCACCGAACGCAGTGCATCTTACATGAAAATGATTAAGTACCACCAAAATGTACCACCAAGAGTAGAGGAAGTAGACAAATTTTGCTATCTATACAGCTATATCTCACCTGACGGACGCATCACAGATGAAGTGTCAGCGCGTATACAAAGGCTCGATTGACATTTACCAACTTGAGACATTTGTGGCGCCATCGCGACATCCGGCTGTCCGTGAAGGATCCAGCATATGCTGAAGCAGTTTGGACAGTACTACTCTACGGTGCAGAAACTTGGCCACTATGGGAACAGGAGAAAAGTTGATTGTCGGTGTTTGAACCCCCCGCTGTCTACGTCGCATTGCACGACCTAACCAGGAGCCTAGGTCATATAGGCCCCGCTAGACTCCCTGGCTGGGGACCTCGGGATGATGGTCATAGATGGTTAGAGATATTGAGTGATATGGCTGGGTGTCGCAAGCAGTGGCTCCCGTGCATCCACTCATTATTCCCCTAACACCATTCTACATGAATTCTCCAACTTCCGCTTAAATTTGCTTTCAACATTCCAATCTTCATTCTGATCTTTTATCTAAATGGGGCACCAAAAGACAACGACCAAAACCGGCGCACGAATGTGCATGGTTGTAAAAACGGAAAATACTTAAAAACCACCAAAAAGCGATTGTTCACCCTTTAATATCTACCATAAGGAAATCAAAACGGTAATTCCCTTCGAATAACTGCGTTTTATCACTTCTATTGTCCTCCTGTTTCATTTGTAGCAACCGAATGATATGAAGTACCTGGGTCGTGAAAATCTGATGACCGGAGCAACATATCCGATTCCCACCGCGGGCTATCTGCCACAATCGAATGCGGTCAAACTGTTCACTAGTCCCGTATCCTCGGGATCGATGGCAGACGGACAGACAATGCCACTGACCGCCCACATGGCTCCAATGCGTTTTCGTCCGTTACACAGTCCTCCGGCGGACTATATGACCAATGCGTTGGATATGCATGGAGCCATGGTGATGCCACGAAGTCAACCGAGTGCAGGTAAGTATACTTTCAGTGGATGAACTAGCATTATTATTGATTCCGTCACTCTCCTGTTGCTCGTCTATTATCCGAACCTAGCTGATCGCGTGCTCTTAAGTGAACAGGATTCCCGGTATTGTAGGAATTTGTTTTAGCAGCAAGTAACGTGTGTGGACAATCCCAAAGTACACATATTTTTGACGTGCATCGAATGCGACTTTGGAAGCACTTCCAATGTTTCAATAGTAATAGCTCACACTGTTGTGTAATCTTCCACCTGTGATCCCCTTTAGCACTGAGTTACACTGGTACTTACCAACAAGTCTTTATTGATTCGAGTTAATACATCACGCAAGCAGGCGACCTGAATCATACATTGGTAGTTCGGCTTTTGTTCTGTTTGCTTTATATCATACTTGAACGTTCCAATACTTGATATATACATTAATCACCGTTTCTATGGAACTGGTTAGTTTTAATCAAATACTTCGAAGAAATGAGTATTATGAAGTAAAAGAACAACCGTGATGGACAGACGACACATGAAACAAAATGATCGCGAGAAGGATGACAGTATAATTCATTCGACACCAGCGAGAGAGTCGCATTTTTCTGCATCGATTTTGCTATTGTTGTCTAATTGACTGTTCTTTAATGAAAATATTTGAATCGAGACCCCTTTCACTGCAATATAGAAACGCAGTACGTCACAGTGTACGCAACTGACACTCGGGATTCGTGAGCATACAAATTATGATTCGACGAACAGGCCCAAATAATTGATGAAAACAAAATTCACATACGCAGCGAGACAGGTTATTTGTTTTGTTGTTTATCCAGCATCCAACTGCGATTGCTCGACACCATCCAGGACGCGGAGAATGACATCCAAATTTAGCGTTGGTGAAGTGAGAGTAGCAGTTTGGGAACAATGTTTATCTTGATTGCGCGCACATACGCAAATCGAAGATGGTGGTTTCCTGGACTTGAACACTTGGTCTTAATAGATGAATTTCATTCAAACGACCTTAAAATTACTTTCGAGGTGCACTGACCTTTCCTTGTTTCGGTTACGCCTGATCAGTAATGCGATTGGATTGGTAAGACGGATAGTTATAATGTGCCGACAGACTGAAAGAAGCGATTGTATCTAGGCTAACGTGACCGATCTGATTGATAATCGGATTCCAAGTGAACCGCTTAATGAGGTTGTTTGATAAATTAATTTTGAAAAAAATCAGGTTTGTTCTGTTTGATGTGAAAGTTTAGATGAAGTGTGGAATCGATTCAGTCGCACTAACCGCAAATCTGTTCGCATATTTTTTCATTGAACTCAAACAAGAAGAGTCAAATTCGACGCGTTTCATTGAAATTCACGAATGAATTGTCAAAGTAACAAATAAATGGACACCAGAATAAGCTCAATAACGAATGACTAGAAAATATTTTGAACCTGATTCCCCTTCGCTGTATAATTTTCTCACGTACCATTATTTGAATTATTGCAGTTTGAAAACGTACAATCGATAGGTAACGTGGATGTATATTCGTCTATCTTTGTGATATATATGTGAACTGAAACAGACGCCTCATGTTAGCCATTATTGTTTTTATTCATTTCAATCGGAGGTGTCTTGAAAATTTATCAGTCAACAGAAAATCAAACTCCAATCTCAACTCTATATGAATGATATTGAAAAACCCAAAATCGCCTAGCATTGGCCTGTGGGTCTTTGACGCAACTATTTGTAGCAGCAAGTGCGTCACGACTCAGTGTGAATGAAAGTACCGGTCCCATCAACCAGATTTTTATCCCTGCAACTCTCCGCTTCGACCCCAGTTGCTACATGGAACTCTCCTCATTCTTAAACTCGTTCAATCCCAATTCACTTGACGTAGTTGGGTGCGAAACTGTTTCCCTCATTAAAGGTCGTTCACCCAGGTTCAGTACGATTGTCAGTCTGCAAGAACTCGCCATGTCAATGAACGCTTCAGCTATGCCTGTATGCTACGCTGTGACATGTGACGATAGTCCTCGAGTGCACACGCGCATGCATGCGTGCAGGCACAGTATCAAAAAGTCGGAAAAATATTGCAAGCAGCTGTAGTGGGCTGGTTCATTGCGACCAAAGTTGTCTTCACCCATTTTGCATGCACCTTTCAGTTCGTGTCCACGGTTTATTGCATTCAACCTTCCCCCAGGGATAAAATAAATACAAATATATAAATTACCTGAAAGAATTACATATTTGGGGGTATACGCATTTCGGTTTTCATAAAATTTTCTTCCTAAATCCGGTTTATTCACTTTTGTGTCTGCTTCTATAGACAACAAATTTTGTCCGAAATTTATTAGGTGTTCATTTATCCTAACGAGTGGAGCAGAATAAATGCCCAGAACATCCTTCCGTGTCTAACTGATTAACAACATCCATCAGCCATTCTAGAGTTGATTTTTTCAGTTTGGAAAATTTCATCAACTCCAAACCTCCCTGTCCCTGCACCCACGGCTGGAAACTGCAATAAAGGTGAGTAGATGAACAAAAAGGATATGTCCAGTACTCCCACCATAGAATTTATATTAACCATCATGGAACGTGACGGGTATTACCTTGCTACTGGGTTAATTCAGTGAGTGGGTCTGTACACTTCTTTCTACTGAAAAAACAATAAACTTGATTAACGACGTTAATTGGATGTGGCTTTACTATCGTCCGACTTAATAACACATTTGTCCTGTTGAGGCCTGATGCTCAGGCGTGTCCACTCGGTGGCTTTTGTCACCTACGAGTCTTGGTGCTACGACCTGTAAACGTCAAGCGCGTTGTAAACGGACGGTGATTGATCAGTTCTTTAAAAAAAGGAAATCATTAGTTCAAGTTCCAAGGTTTAGTTTGCCGGTTCCCGTACCCGAGCATTAAATCCTCATTCGTACTGTGTACCACACTAATAAGTTCAATGAAGACGAACAGTGGTCTGATTATAGTTCTATACTCCATGAGGTATATTGAACAGTTATCAAAAATGATATTTATAAGTACTCAACTTATTTGTATTTTGACCTTGTTGGGTGGCAGAAGCGGTGCAAAGCCCTCACCCGCCTGAGAATCGAACGTTGGACCCCCTCGGATAGAACTCAAGCACACTGGTCAATTGACTGCCGGGTAGTGGATTGGACCACTTTTCATTGGATCCATAGCCAATATGGCACAACTCATATTGGCACGTTTGTTGCGAGCATCTGACCTTGTCCATAGCAGATCTAACCTCTGGTATTACGACTCGACCGGAAATTTTCCCACCCTGAATACTTTTCACAACTGAGTAGTGGAGGATTTGATTCGACCGCAATGTGAATTTGGTTGTGAACAAAATGAAGGAAAGTAAGCGGTTCATTCTTGTTCAGTTTGATCCTCCGCTGTACTGATGAAGTAGTACCATAAATAAAAACCGACTCAAGATTCAATGAACCGTACACTGCTTCCTGTGTTTTGGGTTCAGGTTTCCTTAACTCTGCACAATTCAACCGAATTCACCCTTACAATCGAATCAAATTCTTCACTAATCCAGTATCCCTGATTTTTTAGGCATTATTTTTCGAAACACAAATGAATTTCACATTTCTCTCTCTCCATGTACACTATATATCACCTGAGTTATTTCAACCAGAACCTGTCTTCACCAATCGATTCTTGTTACTGTTTGAAACGATGAAACATTTAGAGTGCCGGTTGCCTTGGTTTAGTTCACTTTGTTCCCCACTGTTAGGGTGTTGCCATTTCCATTTTCTGTACTTTGCTGAGTCACATGATCCTCTCTGTCTATAGTGCACACTGACATTTAATTTCATGAGGGAACCAAAAAGAAGAAGAAAAAACAACTATCCATGATCCACCTGTGCATTTAATAAATGAATGCCGTGCTAGGCAACAATTCGATTTACCTTCCTCCCCCCATCCCCGCGCCACCCCCCGTTCATTCTAATCGATATTTCGCAAATCGATCTTGGTAAAATTATTGGTGCATTGACAACCGGTTCTGACCACATTACTATCGGAATGGTTGAAATCTTAAGGTTGAGTTTTTCCTTCAACTGTATACATTCCGAACTTATCACAGCGTAAGAACGTTTGGGCTGAAACCTATCCCTATATTATGGGGAATTGGCCTCATCATTTAGCACCTAAGACGGGTTGAGCAATGACGCGTTCACTTATTCTATCGATTGAGTGTATTACGAGGTTTCCCAAGGAGAGAACGAATCGAGAACAAGGTCGGGTACGAGTGTTTATAGTGTAATGTGACCTGCAGCGGACAGGTGTACAGGGAGTCAAGCGCACGATACAACTCACCGGAAATTGTGCCATATTCGAGGTTGTATGCGATCTCGAAACAAAGGGTAATAAAACAAAATAGGGTCTTTACATGAATCATGGGAATGACGTTTAAAAGTAAAAATAATGTCACTACAATCCCGTGTACGGTAAAACGATTGAGATTTTGGGGGCTAAAGCGTTACGATTCAAATGTTCTTCACAAGCAATGATCTATGTGCCTATAGAGAACAACAGAAGTTCGGTTTTGGAAGCTCTAAAATAGTGGAAGGTTGAGCCCCGTACCTCAAGTCCTGTTGGTTTTGGACCCACCTGGAAAAACCTAGTCATAGTATGCATAATTCCAAAATGTACACGTTCGAATTCGAACCACTACAGTCTATGAGAAATCACATTATTCATTACTTTGAACAGGTAGGTCTAAAGATAAAGAATGCAAGAGAAACCTAGTTATGTTTTATGATTCGTGTGAGTGTGTGCGTNACATGATCGGCTACATTATTATTAAGTAGAAACGATAATGTTAGAGCAAATGGGGCACATATGGGCTCCAAAATAATTTCTATCTCAAACGTTAGAAGATCGCCTAGTAACTTATTTACTACTATCACCGCTGCCAAACGTATGATTTTATTTGACATTTCCTGTTTTCTGAAATTGGAAATGAATCCTCACTTTTCTATT